CCTGCGCAGCTATAAAAGTGAGTTTCCCCTGTGGTCTCTGCTTCCGTTCCACACTGCATTTAGGGATTAAGGGGTTGTGCACTCAACTTAATAGAGAAGCAAGGACGCAAATGCATTGAGAATTGAAGGGTTCCTTTTATAAAAAACATTTGGGTGCAAAAAGAACTTTTATAGAGTCCTCTCTTCTTGACCTTTTCACCATCGTCGTGAAAATTGTTTCAGTTTCGTAGTCTAACTTCAAGAGGCTCCAGTATTATGGTGTCCAATCTACCAGTTATACACCAGTAAAGCAACGTCGTCAGCAGCCAGTTGCTTTGATGCCAGATAAATTCTTTTTTATAAAAATTCACCTAGAATGTCTACAGTCCTTACTAGGTATCAAGCAGTCTTCTTACTTCTGCTTATTACTAGGTATCAAGCAGTCTTCATCAGCTCAGCTTGTATGGGTTGTCACAGTCCACATGACCATCCTATTCAGTTTCGGATGTGTGATCAAGAGGTTTCCATATTACAGGTCTTTGAACACGTACACTGCGTTTATCTTTGGATTTAGTTGGACCTAGTCTGAAGGTCAGGCTGGCAACATGTGCCATGACTACTAACCTCCCACACATTATAATCTCCCAATGTTAATACCCCAAGTTGGTGGACCATTTGCTGGTTCCTTCTTGAATCATTGCCTAGTCAATAATGATGTATCCTATTCATATATATTTTTTCAGCTTTATTGAGGTATAACTGACATTCAGTAAACTCTCCACATTTGAAGTATATAATTTTGTAAGTTTTGACATAAATATACTCCTGGGAAACCATCACCGTAATCAAAATAATGAACATTACTCCCAAAAGTTTCCTCCTACCTCTTTGCAATTTCTTTCTATCCCCACCCCACCTTATCCACAGGCAACCACTGATCTGTTTTCTGTCTCTTAGATTAGTTAATATTTTCTAGAAAATCATATAAATGGGTCTTAGATACTCTCTCTTTTCTGGTTTGGCTTCTTTCATTCAGCATAATTATTCTGAGAGTCAACTGTGTTACTGGGTGTATCAGCGGTTCATATGTTTATATTGCTGAGTAATATCCCATGGTATTGCTATACCACAGTTACTGGTATAATTCACCTGTTGATGAACATTGGGATTGTTTCCAATTTGAGGCTATTGCAAAGAAAGCTGTTAAGAACATTCCTGTACAAGTCTTTGTATGAACATATATTTTCATTTCTGGTGGGTAAATTCCTAGATATGGAATGGCTGGGCCATATGGTAGGTATAGGTTTAACTTTTTAAGAAAGTGTTAAATGTTTTCCAAATGGTTGTGATTTTACCTCCCCACCAATACTGGGTAGCGTAGGATACTTTCAGGTGCTCCACATCTGTGATAAGTCTCTGTCATTGTAGTCATTCCAGGAGTATTGTGGTACCTCATGGTGATTTTAATTTCCATTTCTAGAATGACAAATGATGTTCAGCATCTCTTCATGAGATTGTCGTCTGCATATGTCTGCCCAAATCTTTTGCCCAATTTTTAATTGGGCTGTTTGTTTTATTATTATTGAGTTTTGAGAGTTCTTATATGTTCTGGATATAGGTCTTTTTTTTTATTTTGGGGCACTGGTTTTCTGTTGACAGCATCATAGTCAAACTCTGACCCCATTTGTCCTTTTTTTATTTGAGGGGGGAGGTAATTAGGTTTATTTATTTATTTTTCTAATGGAGGTACTGGGGATTGAACCCAGGGCCTCATGCGTGCTAAGCACACACTCTACCACTGATCTCTACCCTCCCCCAGGCCTTTTTTTGTATTTATGTTTTGCAAATATTTTCTACCAGTCTGTGTCTTGTTTTTCATTCTCTTCACAGTGTCTTTGAATGAGTAGAAAATATTAATGTGGATGGAGGGTCGACCAAGTCAGTCACCGTGGAAGGAATCCAAGCAGATAACAGTTAGATGACAAGGATGGGTTGATATATCGTGTGGGAGAGCTGACGCTGTGCAGGAAAGAGTTCCGTTTCATCAGTAAAACAGAAATGTGTGTCATGCTGCTAACTGACACACACCCAGGCAATGTTTTCCATTTCCTTGACGACTCTTTGGCCTTGTAAGGAAGGGGGTTAGGAAGGAAAGGCTGTTACAGGTGAGCTATGACATAGTGCACCTCCTCCTTTCCTTTTAACATGAGTCAGAACAGAAAAGGAAAATCAAAGGGATGTGCTCCAAGTTGCCTCAATAAATATTCATGCCTGGGGTTCTCATAAAACATACATGAAAGCAACCAAGGGCAGCATTTCATGTGGAATCAAAAGGATTTGGCACCTACAGCTGAAAAGGCACGGTATCAAAGCAGAGGGAGAAATGCGGTGTTGATCTTGACAGGCAGCAAGATCATTCCCACATACAGTGAGAAACTGCTCACATAGACTAGGGGTTCGGAAAGGCCTCCTCCAGACTACAGGAAGGAGGGGACCAGAGGGTGAAGTTCTGATTCCATGGCAGAATGAGCAGTGGCTGCAATTTTCCCATCTTTACGGCCTTTCCACATGGCCGGGAGAGGAGGAGGGTGTAGGATTCTTGGCCTCTATCACGGCCAGAACTGTCCCAAGAAGTGAAGACAGCCTAGAACCACCTCTGTACCAACCCCATGGAGTTGTGAAGAGTTTAGAACAGCAGTTGGCGTGTAAACATCCTTAATGAATCCTGGCTATTATAAGTGCCTTTATTTAAGTCCTTCTATGGAGAGTACCAGTGACATGTGGATACATTTAACAACTGGCTCTCTGGACAAAAAAGTCCTGGTTTGTAGCATTTGGCAATTTCTGTGGTGTAAATACTCCTGCTACCACCAATTTCAAGCTACCAATGTGATGTCATCAAATGCAGAGTTGGAGAGAGGTGAGCAATAGTATACCATTACATGGTATGTTCACCACATAGATACAATAGACACAAATAACCTCAAGAGTGTAGATAATGCTAACATATAGCATAATAATTAAGAAATGATTTTGAGTATTTATTACCTTTTAAAAATATAATTTATTTAAACCTAAGCTAATATAAGTTACTATTTAATAATTGACTCAGAAAATTTCTGAAAATTTAAGTTTGCTCTTGTGAGCTAATGAGTCCACTCCAACTCTGCAAAATTTCTTACTGTCAACTTAGACATTTGTTAATGTTTCAGTTGTCTATTGCTGCATAACACACTACTTCAAAACTTACTGGCTTAAAAAAAAAGATTTCCTGTTTTTCACAATCCTGTAAGTTGATTGGTCTCAGCTGAACAGTTCTTCTGCTCCACCTGGTATAGCCAAGGTCACTCATGGTTGCGTTGAGCTGAAGATCACCTGAACATCCAAGATGGCTTCTCAACTACTAGTGCCTCTCTCCACGTGGCCTCTGGGCATTCAGTAGTCTAGCCTGGGCTTTACACGACACTGGCTGCTAAGAACGTACTGTTCCAATAGGACAAGCCCGAATGTGTCAGTGTTTAACAAGCCTCTGCTTGTATCACTGTGCCTGCTAATGTCCCATTGGCTAAAGGAGGTCACATGGTCAAGTCTAGACTCAGTGCAGGCAGAAACAACACTCTTGCAGGAATCTGGAAAGATGTGCTTTGTTAGAGACTACTAATGTAATGGTTGATCACAGATGACATCAGGAAATCCCAGGGCCCATTCGGAGGGAGTACACAAAGGAATAAATCTTCCCTTGGGGGTGGTGTATAGCTCAGCAGTAGAATGCATGCTTAGCATGCACGAGGTTCTGGGTTCAATCTCCAGTACCTCTGTTAAAAAAAAATACAGTATTAAAAAAAATTCTTCCTTTGAGGGAGGTTAAGAGGGTTATCCTACTGTGTATGTTTGTGTGCGTGAGAGAGAGAGAGAGAGAGAGAGAGAGAGAGTGTGTGTGTGTGTCTTGGAGACGTATGGGGAGTGGCAAATGGAGGGGAAGTGGACTAGCACCACGGATAACTCAGTGGCTGTCAACCAGGGATGAGTTTGCCCCCAGAACCCCAGAGGACATTTGGCTGTGTCAGCAGACAGTTTTGGTTGTCATAACTGGTGAGGCTGTCATTTGCAGCTAACCATCCTTTGCACAGGGGAGCCCCTTGCTGACAAATAACTGTCTAACCCATAATGTCAGCAGTTCCGAACTAGAGAAACCCTGCGTGTAACCTAACAGCACGAATTTGGCTGTTTAGTATGTGCTCTCTATTCCCAACACATTTTCCCCTACTGCCTCTGACAGCGCGAACAAGACATAAAATTCTCTCAGCGCTCTCCAAATGCATATTTGGACTACTTGGAGTGGCTTCAAACAGAGGTGACAGATGTACCCTTTTTGGCTCCAGTGTCTTGCCAGGCAAGCATATGCATGTTTGCACATCACATCTGCAACGCTGGCAGTAATGTTCTGTGACTAAAAGAGGTCACACATCTGACTTCCAGTAAAATCCCTCAAAGGACTTTTCCTCCAAGCCTTCCAGCTCTCAGAAGCTCTCGAAATCTTGCTTTGCCCTCTTCTCCAGGTCAGCAATTCTGTCCCATTCCTCATTATGCTGAGGTTCCATTTGCCCTCTCTCTGCAGTGGAATCCTGACATTAGTTCAGCAAATGTCAGTGGAGCTCCTACTGTTGGCCAGGGCTGTCCTGGGTGCTGGGGTGCAGCAGGGAGCAGAGAGCGAGACAACACTGCCTTTGTGTGGAGCTTACATTCCATTTGGGGAGAGAGACAATAGCCAAGGCAATAGACAAATGACAACATGTTAGGTGATGAAAGGTAAAGAAAAATTTAAGCAGGTAAAGGGATGAGAACAATGGAATGGGGTGATACTTGGATTAAGGGGTTCAGGGAAGGCCCTGCTGAGGGGTGCTTTAATAGATTCCTTTAAAAACAAGATGGATTTTCATCTACTTGTAATTTAAGTCTGCCCTGATAAATTAGATTAATAGTCAAGATCATTTCTGCTTCCAGTTCCTCCAAAATTCCAAGCCAGTTGGAGTTGTTGACTGAAGAAAAATGCACAACCTAAAACTTTCGAGCTATGTTTTATTTGGGGAACTTACTGAGGACTATAGCTGTGGAGACAGCCTCTCAGCTCTGATGAATTGTTCCGAAGAGGTAAGGGAGGAGCCAGGACATATAGGAGTGTTTACTGGAACAACAAACAAACAAACAAAAACCTCCATGTAGTCATATGTCAAAAGATTACTGCTAATCACAAATGCCAGACATCTCCTTAGTGATTCTACTGCTTTTCTTTGCATGGGAAGATGCAAGAATGTGGCTCGTTGAAATTATTCCTTAGATGTGAATATTAACTACCTAGGGCTAATATCCAGTTTTTTTTTCCCCCATCCTGAATTCTCAGGGCACACCATCCAGGTGTCTACCGTGGCTGATGGCTGGCAATTCATTGTTTACTGGAATGGAAGGCACCATTCTTTTGTGCACGGAGTGGCTGTTTTCTCTGCATGGAAGACTCCCTAGATCTTTGCCCTGGGTGGAGTGGTGTGTGTGTATGATGGGAAGCTCAGCTCAAAGGTCACCTCCTCTGAGTTCTCCCTGACCATTCTCATTTAGCGTAGCCATCTCTCCCAACTCTTACCCACTCCCACAAAACTCTACCCCCATCATCTTAATTTCTTCCTTACTTTTCTTATCACTCTCTGAAATTATCTTATTCAATTATTTGTTCATTACCTATCTATCTTTGTTAGTATATAAACTCCAGGAGAAAAGGTACCACAACAGTTTTTACAGCCTCAGCACCGGCGGTGTCACCCGATTTGCACTTGATAAGCCCTCAATAAACATCTATCCCGTGAACGAACAAAAGAGTAACTACCAGCTACTTTATTTCTCTCCCTTCTCTTTAAACCCCCTCCTAGCGCACCCACCTGGATTATAAACCCGGCTGGACCTAGGTATAGGGCGTTTAGCCTCGCCATTGGCTGGAGTATTCATCGTTGCTCCTGGCAACCACTGTTTCCCACCAGTCGTGTCTTCGCCCCGCCAGGCCCCTCCCCTCACCACCCCGCCCCCGAACCAACCAGCTTCCGCCCAGTGGTAAAAACGGTGCTCACCCTTTAAGCGGCGGGACTTCTGGTGAACGTCGTCTGCCGCCGCCGGAAGGGGAAGTTTCGCCTTCGAACACTCCCTCGCTCGTCCGAATTCGGTGGCGCCACGTCCGTCGGTCTCCGCCTTTTGCACCCCGACTGGGGCGGCTTCCAACCCGACACCTTCCCCTCGCCGAGCGGGCCGCGTCGAGAGGGAGCCGGGACGGGGCGTCGAGAGGCTGTGCAGATCCCGGCCACCGAAGAGAGGAAGATGTCGGACATCGGGGACTGGTTCAGGAGCATCCCGGCCATCACGCGCTATTGGTTCGCCGCCACCGTCGCGGTGCCCTTGGTCGGCAAACTCAGCCTTATCAGCCCGGCCTATTTCTTCCTCTGGCCTGAAGCCTTCCTCTATCGCTTCCAGGTACTAATAGGCGACGGGGGAACGGGGACTACAGGCCCCAGGTAGCCCCGCAGCGGCGGAACGCTGACCCGCCGGTTGCGGACGCGCGGTGCTTGGTGGGATTTGTAGTGCGGCGGCTCCAGCGGTTCGGGGCGGGGTCCTGGTGGTCTCGGGGATGGGCACTGGCTTCGGTAGCAGGCGACGTGGAGGGGGACACCAGGGTTTGGCCCGGTGGGGAGGGAGTGATTTCGCCCCTCTATTAAGATTGTGCTCCCCGCCCTCTTTACTCAGAGAAGGCGGCAGTGGGAAAGTAAGTCTAACAGTTGTCAATCTGTTGGACGCCAGTGATTTAGCAACCTGTGGCCGTCTGGAGCAGTTGCCCTCTGACCTCCCTCTGCCACCCACGTGGATGACATGTGGACGTCGACTTGCTCAACATCCAGCTGAGTTCTGTTTATGTTAATAAGATTTCTTCCCAGCAGGAGTGATTTGAAATCAAGGGTGCAATGAGTGAGTTTATTTGTGTGGCTCCCAGGCCATGATCTAGTATCTGAATTTATGAAGTGAGTAGAGAGTATATTGCTCCAGAAATGGAAGGCCTTGTTATTTTTTTAAACATGAAGAAAGCAGTTCAGAGTAACGTTCCTTGCAAGAGAACATTTATTTCCCGGAAGTTATCTTTATTCACTGGATTCTGGGATTCAAATCATTAATTAGTGGCAGGTCAGATACTAAGATCTGACACTAATTTCAACACATTATTTGAACTGTGGTTAACATTCTTGTCTTCCCTCTCTTTACTGGCTATATCTTCGCCTCCTTTGCTGGTTCCTCATATTCCTGACCTTTAAATATTGTGATGTGCCCTAGGACCTCTTCTTCATATTCTCCCCAGCTTCATGGCTTTAAACACTTTGTATAAACTGAAGATTCAAAAACACAAATACACAAATTTTCAGTCCAGACCTGTTTCACCTCCAGACTTGTACATCCAACTGTCTACTTGAAATTACCACTTAGATGACTAATAGACATCTCAGACTTAATGTGTCCAAAACAATACCCTTTTCCCTAGAAGTAAATAGCAACTCCATTAATTACAGGAGCTCAAGCTAAGAGTCATGGAGTCATCTTTGACTTCTCACAGTCTACAGGCTGTTACCAGATTCTGCTTTATTTAGATATATGTCTAGGATACAGTTTCTTTTCATTCTCCATTGCAAGCCATGATCTTACTGGCCTTGTTCCTTTCAATCTTTTCTCTAGACAGCTAGAGTGATTCTTTTAAAACATAAATCATGTCCTTGTCAGTCTTCTGTCCAGAACCTTTTAATGTCTTCTCAACTCGATGAATAAAGCCCAAGTCGTTTCAGTGGTCTGCAAGGCCCTCTACTGCCTTTCTGACCTCCTCTCAATTACTGTTCTCCACTTTCCAGTATATTAGGCTGCACAATGGCATCCTTGCTGTTTCTTCAGCATCTAGCTTCATCCCTCCTCAGGGCCTTTGCATGTGTTGTTTCTCTGCTTGAGGAAGATAACCATGGTTTACCTCCTTACCTCCTTCAAGTCGGCCCAAATGCCACCCTGCTGGCAAGACCTTATCTGACTTCCCTGCATAAAGTAGTTCCCCTTCTTCACTCTGTCTCCCTTACCCTTAACTTTTCTTGCTACATATCACCCCTTGATGTTTGTTAGTCTCTTTCCCTTTAGAGAATAAGACTCCATGAGAGCCCCTTGTCTTGTGTACTGCTGTTTCTGTTACCTAGAGCAGTGCCTGGCACACAGCAGGTGCTTATGTATTGATTGAGTACATGGAAGTAATTTGGTACTTGCCAGTGGTGAGCACTCAGGGTACAGTAGTGAATAAGGACAGAAAAAGTCCCAGCTCCCACGAGGACAATAAGAGTGAGGCATGTGATGGAGAGTGACTTTGTTAGAATGTTCCAGAAAGGCCTCAGAGAAGATATTTGAACTGAAATCTGAATGATGAGGAGCCAGCTATGGGACGATGGGGCTGTGGGGACAGTCTTCCAGGACAAAGGAATAGTAAGTGAAAGGCTTTCAGGCAGGAATCAGGAACAGAAGGTGGACTACATGGTTAGGACAGAGTCAGCTGCAGGGACGAGGCTTGGTAGATGAGGACATAGAACGAGCCGGGGTGAGTGCAGTAAAGTGAAGATGGAACGGTAGGCTGGGGCTAGATCGTATAGGGCTTTGTGGTTTGAACTTTATTTCGAAGGCCTTAGAAAGGCTTCAGAACCTTTTGAACAAAGGACTGAAAGATCGCCTTCACTACTCTGGAATGGACTTGTATGTGAATGGAGGAAAGGGAAGGCTTGGTGATGCAATCAGAGAGATGGTGCTTTGGACCAGGGTGGCTGTGAAGAAAGAAGTGGATAGATTTGGGGATCGGAGTGGACAGGGTTGCAGCTGAATGGGTATGAAGGGTGAATGGGTGAAGGATGCAGGACTCAAAGATGTCACTCTTTTCACAGGAGCAAAACTGAGTGGCTAGTGGAGGCTTTTTCTGAGACTGGGAATGTTTAGGGAGGCTTAGGTTTGGGGGTGGGGGAGGGTATCTATCAAGAGTTGTATTTTGGCCATGTTAAGTCTCGAGATGCCTTTTAGGCATCTAAGTGGAGAAGTTAAGTAGGCAGTTGGATATTAGAATATGATCTGGATATGCAGCCAGAATTGTATACTTTTCTGTTTGCTTTGGTGATATACTTGTTGAAGGAGTGAATGTTGTGCACTTTGTGCCTGGTGGCATGTTAGGTATTGCGCGTGCATAAAGAGCAATGGTTGTAAATGATGGTCAAAACTGGCTCTTTGGCCCTCCTTGCAAATCTTGCTCACTTCTGTAGTTAGCTTAATAAGATAGTCTTTCTAATAAGACTCCAGGTGTATAATGGTAAAAGTGATGAACTGATTAGAAAGGCCATCATTCATGTCACACCTTCTATAATTTTCCCGTCTTCCTTGCACTGTTTCTTGGACTTGTTGTTCTGACCCTGGGGAGAAGCTGCTTTTGTCTTCCACAGCTGCTTGCGTGGGTACATTCCACGGGGCAAAATAGCAGCACCCTCTGCACCTGTGTTGGCTTTTCTGTCTGTTAACTCATTCAGCTCCCACAATCATGGAGATTAAATGTTACCTCAGTTGATAGACAACTGCCGTTTCAGTTTCTGTTTTGGTGAGTTCAAGACTGTTCTGAGCTCTCTTGTTTAACTTTTTTCGCATAATATCTACCAAAACACATAGTTTAGTGTTTAACAAAACTTTTTTTTACTTAAAATTTGTTTTTAAAGAATGAAAGTATAGAGATTTACAATCTTGTGTTAGTTTCTGGTATATAGCATGGTGATTCAGTTTTATATATATATATATATATATATATTCCTTTTCATATACTCTTTCATTATAGGTTATTACAAGATACTGACTATACAATAGAACCTTGTTGATTATCTATTTATATATAGTAGTTATATCTGCAAATCTACAACTCCCTATTTACTCCCTCCCCTACCCCCCTTTCCCCCCTGGTACGACCCGTTAAGTTT